TTTTTCTACTTCAACATTGTCTTGCTGCATACATGGGTTAGTTTTCAACACATAATGAAAAGAATGGAAGATAAACAAAAGGTTAGCTTCAAGGACAATGGTTACTATATTTTTGTCTTAAAAAATGAATGACTAAAGTCAAGAAACTTACCTTGGAGTTGGATCTTTATACTCTGAATTTGAGTTGTTGTCTTGACTGTTATTGAAATTGGAAGAGAGAATAGAGGTGTTGTAGAAGCTTGTTCTTGAGTTTGAACAATTTCTAGGTGATGTATGTGAGGTGCTTAGATGTTTAGACAGAGCTTGCAAGGTGTGAGAGTTCCAAATTTTTGGAATTTAAAACTCAAGATTGGAAGCTTTTTTGAACAGTTATAGTTTTTGATGGCTAGTTTACAACAAGGCTTATGGCTTTTCTCTCTATTTTTCTAACATTTTCCCAACCACTTTCTCTTGCAAATGCTTCTTCTATTTATAGGCAAGGGGTTTGTACATATGATCTAATTAGGTTTATAAGACAGCATGTTATAGTTTGGTTGGATTACAAAGATCAAACTAAGTCAAGTACTCCATAGTCCCAAGATGAAGTACCAAAGTTTCTGGTATTGAGGAGCTACTTCCCATGATTTATGGTGAAGTATAATCAGCAAACAGCAAGGTATGGGCTCAAGACAAACTTTGTACAAAAAGCTTGCTTTTCAAGAATAGCAATGGTGCCTTTATGCCATAAATGGAAAGATCTTTTGGACAATAGTTTAAACACTTGGGTAATAGCTCAAAAGTGGGTGTAAGCATTAAATTATGATGAGATTTGCAAGCAAAGAAGCCTGCAACATAAGATTATGCAGCAAATCATGAGAGTTTTGTTATGTGTTCTTCACTTAGAATGACTTGCAATTCAAAGATGGATTTCCAACTTCAAGCCCTTGAATCTCCTAGCTGAAGTATGATAAATTTATGCTCTTGGATGTTTTGGAAAGCTTGAAATATTATCTATAACTTTCATGTTGGCCATTTTGAAAAAATCATCTTGGAACTATGTGAAAAAATGTCAAGAAGTTGGGGTAAAATCCTGACCAAAATCTGTTGAAAATTTCTATAAAGTGTTAAATGAAATTGTCATGACTTCATGAATTTGTAACTTGAGATCCCATCATATTTAGGAGAAGATATGTAAAGCAATATTGTAGATATCATGGAGACCTACAACTTTGATGTTGAAAGTTTCTTTTGAATCATATTGCATCATGATGAAAGAATGGCATGAAGTGATGAAATTATCATGTATAAAAACACTTAGAAAATTTCTAAGTCTTGGAAATTTTGACTTTTCAAGTTGACTTTATTGACTTTTTTGAAGATCAAGCTTGATATTCTTGCATGTCTTGATGAAATTTGATATTTGAAATGTAATGTTTGACCAAAAAGTCAAAATTTAACTTTCTAATATGCAATTGTCCATTTTCCCCTTGTGCTAATTCCAAGCCTAAATTGATGTATGAGTGCTGTAAACTTGACGTCATAGAAGATCTTGTGAGAGGATCCTTGAGAAATGAGAGGGAAAATTTTGGGGTACAACATACACAATGAATTAGGTGGTGTGTTAAATTGTAATTCATAGTGTCGAAACTATGTGTGTCGAAGAGATTAAATTTGTTTTAGATTTAAATAGATTTGATTTAGATCTAAAATAGAATATATTTCATTTAGTATCAAAATAGGTATTTTGGGATTTTATAGTTTTGGGCTTAGGGAGCAACTTAAATCTATAAATAGGGAGTAACCCCTAAGTTTGTAATTAAGTCAATTAAGTTGTATTCACAGAATTTGCAGTTGCAAGTGAATAACAAAGTTTTCACAGTTTGTGAGCAGAGAGAAATTCTACAGAAAATAATTGTCTTCTTCCTTTTCTTTTCTTTTCTCATAATTCATTGTCATTGTGTGGTGATATCAATCTTGTTAATCAATATCGGTAGAAATCCATCATAGATATTTGGTAGATTTCTAACAAAAATCACTTTATATTTTGACTATTTACATAACTTAGATATTGAATTCAAATTGACAGAAAAACCAGATATATATAACACATCATTGATGATAAAATTAGGAGAAAAAATGATTGTACCTATTTGTTTGGTTAATGAAAATTGACCATTAGGTAGCCTATTAGGTTGAATTTTGTTATAAGAATGAAACCAAGAATTGGAGGAGCAAATATGACCACTATCTCCTGAATCTGTGATCCAAGAGTCTAGAACAATACTTACAAGCCAAATAATGATATTTACCTTTGTCATCAAAGGTTGATGACTTGTGAATGAAGATGAGCCAACTTGATTAGAAACTGCAGGGATAGTACCTTGGTTAAGGGATGAATTCGGAAGTAGAATTACTAGTGTCTCAAATGGGTCTTGAGTAATTGAAGAAGAACCTTTGTTGACAGCTGAGGCTGAAGCAACTACATCATCATCATCACAATCGTTTGTGGCAGTATTGTTAACCATATAGCCTTTACCAAAATGTGGTGGAAATCCATGTTTGCGATATCATATCTCCATTGTCTGGCCAGTTCTACCACCATGAGTGCAAACCTTGGATTTTGAAGTATTGGATGGAGTGACAGAGTTTTCATGCTTGGGATTAGGTTTCTTGAATCCCACAACATTGATCAATGCATGAAAGTCTTCAACCGATGCAAAGTTACCTCGCATCTCATGCTGAAGAACTATAGAAAAGATTTTGTTATTGTTAGGTAATGGATCCATAAGCAATATTTGTGATCTGACCATTACAAAGTTATCAGTAAGGCCAGTCAAAAAATCGAATAGCATGGAGCAAGTTATGATTCTTTCTTGCTTGTCTCATATCCTCACAAGAACATCTGATTTTGCATGTGCAATTAATAATTGGCATGTAGATTTCAAGTTTTTCCCAAAGAACTTTCAATGTAGAGTAAAATTCAGTATCAGTTTTAGAATCTTGCTTTGAGACATAGACCTCTTGTTGCAGTTCAAAAATTCGAACAAGATCACCTTGAGAAAACATTTCCTTTAGATCATTCCAAACATCAATGGCATTTTCCATGAAAACAATGAATTGTGCAATTGATTCAGAAACATAATTGAGTAACCAAGAATGAACATGCATATTGCACCTGTTCCATGCGTGGAAGGAGGAATCAAAATCATCAACGGAACTGGTATCGATCCGTCTATGAATTCAAGCTTCATTTTACCACCAAGAGCCACACACATAGATCTCGCTCATGAATGATAATTGAAACCTGCAAGAACGGGTGTTACCTTAACTCAAGAAGGTCTGTCACTAGGATGAACATAATAGGGACTGGTTTGATCCGTTTGTGGATTCGATGGAGCAAAACGAGGTGGCATGGTGAAGATTGGAAGAAAATGAGAAATCAGAGATGAAGGTGTGTGATACCATGTTAAGAATCTAAAACTCCATGAAAGGAAAGTTTGAAGCTTTGGAAATTCAAGGAAGAGGAAGAAGAAAAATGATAGATGAAGCATGTATTCTCATTATTATGCTCAATCACAAACTGTTACAAGAGCAATCTATATATAACTTGTAAGAGAAGCTATCAACCAATCTAACAAACTCCAAACTACCTCTAACAAACTAGTTTCCAAATATGGAAACTGCTATAACAAATTTTTGAAAAACTTACTAAAACAGGAAAGTTGTTACACTTAAGAAATTGAGCTAGTAAACTTCAATATTTCAACAACAACAAATCAACCATTGATCTAGCAAAACATACAATCGCTCATGGAAGAAGCAAGCACATCAAGTAGAGATCAAGTAAACTATGATAGACTTTAGCTTGAATTATATAGACTGAGATGCGACTCAATGATATGTTGACAAAACCATTGAAAAAGGCTAGGCTTGATGACTTGAAATTTCTTATTGGAATAGAGAGATTTCAAACATGAATTAGGTGGTGTGTTGTGTAGTAGTTATGTTTTGAAAGTTTATAACTAACTTTGTGTTGATTTGTAACTTTGGTCAGAAAGACTAACTAATTGTATGTTGGGTTGTAACTGTGATCTCAAAGTTTATAACTAACTTTGTGTTGAATTATAACTTTGTTCTCAAATTTATAACTAATTGTTTGTTAAAAGTTAGTTAGTAGTCAATTTGTTTAATTTAGAGGTGGTTAGTTAGGTGGTGTATTAAGATTGTTAGAAAATCCTTTGTACATAATCATCTTCTTAATTCAATGAAAAATAATTTCACTTATAAGCCGAATCATTATCTCTTGTTTTGCATAATTTCAAACTTAGTAACAGTAGATTGAGTCACAAACAACACAATTTTCCTTATTTTTTCTTATACTGTCAATAAAAAATTGTTCAACAGGTCTCATAGTTCTGCGCTTCTGCTATACACTAGCAATGCTCCCAAGTGTTCCCAATATGTTGCTGCATTTTCTCTTTACTTAGCCTATATATTACTTCCTGCACAAATTCCACATCAACCAATATAATTACAACTCAAAACATCATAATCATAATATAGTAAACATGACTACTAAATATAAATAACTAAGTTATCCTAAAACTACTAAATTAAAGAGTATTATCAACGCAAGGATTTGCACAATTCAGTTTAAATGATATGAAATAACTCTTATTTCTTAGAGTTATCATTATAGACATTTGTTATGGCGAGCTAATTTGTTGAGATTGTCTTCCTACACAAGATGGATTGCGTGGAAAAGGTGTGACGTATTTACTATGTAGTGGAGATCAGTTTATGTAATGAAGATATGGAGACACATCTACATTTTCAGTTTGAGGACAAAATCCTGAAATGTCTTGTAAAAATCTAAACGCTGGCTAATTTTTTGTGCTAAACCAAGGATCCAGAGAAATATTTCGTATTCAAGCTATGGTTTGCTTCTATACAATATGTACACAAATTTTGCTATGGTTGACAAAACAGATGGAAAAAGAAAGGAAAGTCCCAACTCTTTCCTACGACACAATATGTTCTACAGCTTCTTGTTCCTTCTTGATATCAGAGGGAGGCAAAAAACAATCCATTGATAAGCCACAAATGTTAAAATCAACTTCTTCAATCCTCCATGTTTCTTCAATTCTTCGTCTATGGTTATGTGCTACACCATATCTGTATAAAATGGCCACTGTGTTGCCACCATGTGCTATTTTAATACCGTCTATGTATCTATAGTCCTCAATCACTGACTCAATGCTTGTTTCCCAAAAAACAGAATCCTTTTCTTTGTCCGGCTTCATTCTAACCAACTTGGCATCTTCGAATTTCACAAGTAACCCTGTGCGTTGGCTAAAGTATCCCCACACCGTGTGTCTGATAATTTCTGTGTGTGATGTGCTGTGTGCTTGGAGGACGTCATGTGCTGTCTCTACTTTTAGTAAAAAACAATCTTCTTTGTTAATGGTTTTCTCTCCTACACATACAGCATCTAGAAACAAGTTGGCGGTACATCTTGGATCCAGCCCCTGATAGTAACAATATACACAAAATTAACAACAAAATCTTGATTAAATGAACCCCTTTATAACTTCAATGATAAATTCAAACTTTTGGCTGAACACCAGTTGATTCAAATTCAATTACTGGTTAACAAGGTCTGAAAAACACAGAAGGCCATAAACCAAATTATCTAAAATGCACATATTCACCTTTAGCTTAAGTTAAAATTGAACTTATATTTTGAAATAAGAACAATAATAATTCAATTCTAACAGCATGTTTTTAAGTAATAGTTGAAGACAGAAAGAATCAATACAAATAAATGTATAGTACCAATACTTAACACATTTGATATAAGGGTATAATTTTCAATTATACTAGAACTCGAGTGACCCTTAATCCTATGAAACATAATTACTACTCCATGCTCGGTTCGGTCCTATATGTTCCAAAACAAATTGCTAACAAAGTTGTTGAGCAAGTAAAAACTTTGTTTGAAAAAAGAATCAGGTACAAGGTTTTTCCCCTCAAAGATATCAATTTCTATTTTAGAAAACCAAACATAATGGAGCATTGCATTCATAGATTTTGTAAAATGACTTCTAGTACTATTCATCCCTACCTATTTTTTACATGTATTCTTTTTTACAGATACATGTAAAGTTATTATTGTGATTTGTGGCCAGTACTAATATTATATCCTAAGTCACAGATTCTCAACTTGGTAAATGTCAACTTTTGTACTTATCTAATTATTTTTACTTATATTTATAATACCCGACACCTAACCAACTAATAACCTATAAATTAGAAGTCTGTTGTAATTTCTCGTTTTGGAATACTTTCCCGCTCCTTTGTTTCGGGAGTTAGGAGTTTCCTTTGTATTGTTCGGGTTTAGAGTATCCCTTATACTCTCTTTTAATAGAATTTTCCTATTAAAAAAATTAATTACTCTAATAGAAATAAAGTAAAACTGGTGTAAGCATTTGGTTGTGTAAAGATTGAACAATAGCAAATTTTCTAATGGTGTCAGTCTATTAGTACCTGAAAGACACGGCGAAGAGGTCTTGGAGGTCCTTTATTAGCATGACAAGGTTTAGAAGAAGACTGTGTCCATGCTATCTTCCCATCACTCCCTGCACTAACTTTGAAACCAGAGACAACCAATTCAAAGTGCCACAAATTTGGATTCTTTTGCCATAACACAAAACCTCCCACTTCAGCTCTACCAATCGGTTTAATGCTATCATCTCCCCGACGCATCTCGGACCCAAACATCCTCACTTGCCCAACTGCATACATACTCTTCAGTGAATCCAATGCTCCCATTCCTCCTGTGGCAGCTATGTATTGCTGCACTATATACTTTGCACGTGAAGCTTCCTGCATAATATTTCATTCAAACAACTTTTATTCAATTGTAACAGCCACAAACAAGCTCAAAAAATATCCCAATTATACTATATCACTAATGAAACAACTCATTAATCATTTTATTTTAACATTCTAATCAATTGTGATATGAACATGGAAATACTACAATAACATCAATAACTTTAGAGCTGTTGTTAGTAACAATGATAGGATTATAACATCATACTTCATTAAAGTCTTAACCTCGGAAAACTGAACTCAAACTCTCTGCGTTCCTATAGCTGATCATTCCAATATCAACAAATGATATTAATGGTTGGGAGTATTAATCTCTCAACAAATCTCTCAGTCATTGAATTATGAATTAAATCTAGCTGTTGGTATTAGACTAGACCAGACAAGCTGCAAAGGATCAAAGCTCCAGCTCCAACAGAATCTAATTAAAAACTAACTCAAACATGAAGTGTCATCTAATTTTCATGCAATGGTTCTCACAAGCCGTAGACATAAATAGTTTTAAATTGCAGTTGCGGTCCAAGTGCAATTACTCAAATTTTTATATTGTGATAATTGTCTGTAAATGCAGCTGCGATTGTAGTTGTGATTCCGTTGTTTGGACCACTAAAATTGCGGCCACAAATTCAACTGTGAACCATAATTTCAAAGGATGCCTACAATGCTCTTTTATATATGCAACAATGCCAGATATTTCACTTTTATCTAAAATAAAATACTTCTGATAGTATTAACAAACTATAAAAATCATAATATAATAGAAATTCCAATTTAATTTTTTTTTTAATTTTAGACGTATAGAATTGATTTTGAAGTGTATGGTTCTTCAAAAGTAAAATTTATTATTTCTCTTTAAAGAATCTAAACACGATTTTTACACTGAAAAATTTATAGTTCAAGTTACCTCCAATTCAATTTTAGTCATAATCAATTAACTCAAAATCGTTTATCGGCATTGTACAGGTGAAAAACAAGATTGAATAACGAAATTTCTTATTCCTAAATTAATCCATCTATGACATAACAACAACTTAATCGATGAATGAACAAATATACACATGAAATTGATGATACTAATTACTAACCGTAAAAGAATCAAATATCAATCATTAACGATGTGAATTGGATAAACGTGAAACAATGCTTACGATGCTAGAATCATTGAGAGGACGAGTGAACGTATGATCGCATTGAACCTGAAGAGGAATAAGAGGAGAACCAACAAGTTTAAGCAACGCGATGAATTCATTATCACAAGCAGCAGAAAAATGCGAAGAGTTATCGTTAAAAATCTGCGCTTTCATGAGCGCGCAGAGATTCTGCCACCGATTGGAACCACTGTTTCCGATTCCAGTCCACATATCCTCCGGAATCGGAACTTCCAAAACCGTTTCTAAGCCGTCTTCCTTATCAAAATTTGGACACAGTGTCCTCATTGGATTGGAGGATGTGATTCTCCAATTGCGGTCTCGATTTTTGTTCTGAGATTTTATTTTCCGATTTGTTCGTGAAGATATATAGCTAGATACCATGATGAATGGGAATGAATGTGTGAGGGATGCGTTTTTTTGGGTTTGGATTTTTGAAGGCGTTATTTGCGGGAAGGTTATTTTGTAAGTGGAAACGGAATTACCGGCTTATCGATTTCCTATATGTGTGGGATTATTGGCACTTTCTTCACAAAAATACTCTATAATACTACTATAGTATTCTTTTTCTAAGGGAAATATAACAAAAATATTTTTTCTATTATTTCATATATTCAATTTTTTTTTATCCAGCTATCAAAGTTCACAAATGTATCAGTGAAGTCATTTTAAGATGTGTTCGGAGATACATCTTCGAATTCATTTTGATAAAAAATAGTTTTTACCTTTTAATTTTTCAACTCACATTTATGAAAAAAAATTATTTAGTAGCTCGATTTTAGCTTTTAGTTTGTAGTTTTTTTACTAGCTTTTGATTTTATTTTTTTTGAAATAGCTTTTAAGTTTGTAGCTTTTAACTTATGATTTTTCTTTCATTTATACCCTTATTATTTTAACAAAAATATCTTATTACCCTTATTAATTAAAATGATCTTTTATGTCATTTTGTATCTATTAGCCAATAAAACAGCTAGTTTACCAAACACTCATGTTAGTTTATCAGTTATTAGTCACCGGCTATAAGCTAACAGCTACCCGCTATTGACTATTAACTATCAACTAACAACTATTAGCTATTAACTATCAACTACCAGCTAATTTTACCAAATAGAGCCTAACTTGTTTAAAGTCAGATTAAATCAGACCTATTTAGGCAATTTTCATTGCACCTTTTACACTATTCTAAGTCTTGTGCAAATTTTTTTACAATGTCTCTTATTTTTGGAGGGTATCTTTGCATGTACAAAATCTCTATTTACACCACAGATTAATTCATAGATGTATCTCTGAAGTTATTTTAGGGTGTGTTCGAAGATACATCTCTAAATTCACTTTTTCTTAAATTAAAAAAAAATATTCGGTGATACATCTCTGAATTAGTTGAGTATATTTAAAGATCGCGTCAGACTCTCCCTCTTCTCCTTCTTCATTTTTCATTTTTCAGAAACTCAAAATTTTCTCTCTACCAATTTTCAGTTCTCACTCAAGGTCAAGTTTTAAAGCAATATTTACTTGTATTTTGTCATTCTCAACTCCCTCTAACTACTACATTCAACATTAGATCACTTTACACCCTCATCAACATATTTTTTTAGTAAGTTTTTCATTTAGCTTATTTTGATTTTTGATTAATGCATTAGTTTAAATATGTTAGTTTTAATGCATTATATAGAATTAGCATTTGAAATAGGTTATGTGTAGACTTTGTTTATATGATTTAGATGAGTTTAGATGGCTAAGGCAGTTGCAAAAAAGTTTCAGCCATTGAAGTTGAACGAAGATTTTTTTCAGGGATGTATCTCTGAAGTATTCTATTTTAAGATTTTGGAGATAAATCTAAAAAAAAACTTCTTTTAGGTTCAATGGCAGAAAAAAGCTTCCTTCTTCATATATTAATCTCTTTTGTTATGTTTTTTCAAGGGATATAGCTAAAAACAACGAAAGATTGAGACTTAGGCGATCCACCCTAACCGCGTTTGCTCGTCGCGAGAGAGCTTGTCAGCTTGAGTCATCTAGAGTCATCCCTCATCTGCCTCACAATAGGGAGGCGTCGACCTATATGAGACGACTATCACGGGGAGGTCGGGATCCCAGAGTCGTGTGCATCATGATGAGAATGCCCCAATTGCACTGCATGTCCAAGTTGTTAAGGATGTCTCACTTGCAGACCCTTTTTCAAGAGGGTCCACAGACACATCTTTACTGATATACTTTGGAGACCACGCGGCTTTGCATATCTGGGATAGAGAGGTATATTTTTTAGCAATGTTATTTTTTATTTTGTAACCAAATTCAACTTGACTGAGACTGTTATATTTTATTTTCAACAAGAATGTGAATGTTTGAAATATGTGAACCATGCAAGAAAGATTCACAATTTTTATCAACCTCCAAATGAGTGGTTCCAAAATTCACCCAGAACTCTGGGCTTGCAAGTCTTTGTGCTTCCGGATACAACACCATCAGTCATGGCATGCATGTTACATTTGTTGAGATATAACATATATAAATATTATCTTTCAACCTCCCCATTGACGAGATGACTATTACATTAGATGGTGTAGCTTTCCTTCTACACCTTCACATCAGAGGAAGGCTGCTTGATCATTCTAAGATCACAAGGGATGAGGCAGTGGATATGATGGTAACTTATTTGGGAGCTGACCCTACGAAAGCCTTTGAGCAGTGTAGAAGCACCATAGATGCACATGCCAAGTTTTATTGTGTTAGTTCCATAGTTTTATGATTGCCTAAATTTTGATAAAATATGGTTTTATACTGATGTTGATCAAGATGTTGCAACATTCTTATCAACTATCATAACAATTTTGTTGTTATGATTTTTTCAACTAGATGTCGAAGTATATGTCATGACATCTTGGTCTGGTACAATAGGCCTTACTGTTTTAAATCTTGACAAATTTGATTTGATTATGTGATATTTCTTTTGGATATATCTCAGTAAATTTTGCAGATCAAGAAGATTTAATCTGGAATAAGTTTTGTATCTCCAGTTGTACATAAGTTACTAAATTAGGTCGTGAGAAAATCTAGAAAACTTGGTATAGTTTGTTCCAAGATTTAAGGAGATTTTGTTGCACAATTAGTGCATCACTCAGCTTGTGGGTCAAAAAATATCTAGATGCATATTTTGAAGCCCATGAGCTGCATAGGTGTATTTAAAGGAGAAAACCTAAACCTAATGTATCAATTCTTTCAATTAAGTTTTTCATAATTTGTAAATTAGGGAAAGCTTAGAGTCTTAGGTTTTGAGAGTCTCTTGTGTGGGTGTAAGTCACTCTTGTATCTTTTGATATTTGTGATAAACGCAATGTTCTTACTCATAAGCCTTTATGTAATAAGTTAAGTATTGTTCTTGGTTGAAGTTTTTAAGAAAAACTAAGTATTTTTCTTAGTTAAGAGTCTTAACTAAGTGTGATATAGTGGGAGAACTGACTTGGTTTTGCATTTTATCGCAAATGTTGTGGATAGCAAGAGTCGCCACCGACTTTTCTTTTATCCAACAAAGGAATGGGAGAAAAGAACATGAAAGACCTTTTGAGAATTTTTATGAGTTCGGGGGTGGGTTATGAAAAGGGAAGGTGTTAGCACCCCTTTCATCCGTGGTTACCTACGAACTATTAATCACTAGCTCGCTTTTGAAATGCTTTGTGCTTATGTATGTTTGAAAATATTTTGAAAATGCCTAAGTGCGACAATTTTGTAATGGTTCTCGTATCGTTGAGAATGCATACAAAATGTTTATTTTGAAAATATTTGTTTGAAAAAGTGTTTTGAAGATTCCACTGTAAAGAAGACTGCTTTATAGTAACCCTTGTATCAATCCTCAAGAGTGTTTATAAAGCGTTTTGAAAGTAGTTGTTTTGAAAGTGTGAGATCTGGAAATTGTTTTAGTTTGAGAGAAAGTGATTACGAGCGATCTACCTACTCAAAAAGGCTTTATTCTTTTTCTCCTCCTTTAGATAGTTCTATCCTACCATTAGTTAGTAGGAAGCCCTATCATTGGATGTGAAGGACAGGCGTGGGTCATCGTACATTCATGAAAGGAAACTTGTAAGGTGCTTTATCAAGTTATCGTAAGGGACTAAGATCGTTTACTGGGGCAGCATCGAGGGACTACGATCTTTTAACTGAGGGCCTTTGCTAAAGCGTCCCATATTCGAGGGACATGACTGTTTTCTGAAGGCAACAAGTGAGGTTATCCTAGAGGTGCGTGTGTGAAAAGTAGTTTGTTTTAAGTTAATTTATCTTGATTAGGATTATCTAGCGATTGATTTTAAATCTTTCCATACATGCCTAATTACATTAATAAATAAAAACGGTAAAAAAAAACATAATATAAAGGTCTTACGCTATTACAATGCTTCGGAGAAGGGGGTACAAAACTACAAAACAGGGAAAAATAGTAAACAATTTAAAATAAATTATAAAGATCAAATAATCGAAAAGAAATTAAACAATTAAAAATTTAAATAATTAAACAAATAGAATAAAAAGATAGACAAGATTAAACAAACATATTCTTATGGCGTTTCTATGAAGCAAAAGAAAGAGAAAATGTAGAATAGAGATGTAACTAAAATAAAAGTTATCTAGACTAAGTTAAAATTCTAAATTTACTGAATTCAATATAAGCAAATTAATTATAAAGTTACTAACTAAAAAATTCTAAAAAAATTATTAAATTAGATCTAAACTAAATTGATATTCTAAATTACTAAAGTTAAGCTAAACTAAATAAAATGACTAGAAACTATACTGATTTTTTATTTTGTATTTTTATAAGGGAAAAGAAATAATTATAAACCTAAACTAATGTTTTTGGTATTTTTATATGAATTTAAAATGAAATAAGCAAACAAAACTTGAAACTTAGAATATTAAAAAAGATAAAGCTAGAGATTGAACTCATGCCCCTTAAATTATTATTCTCTTGCCTTCCCACTAAAGCAGATTATTTTTCTATTATATTTACAGTTTTGATTAAAAATAAAATGAAAGAGTTGGATTAAAATGAGAAAAATAGAATAATGATAAAAATGTCCCAAGGGAGGCTCGAACCCGAGACCTTAAGATCCAAATGCATACACCAACCATCGTGCCATGCTGTTCATTCATTTATTATAGTCTTTCAAATTAATTAAGAAACAAAAACAGTCAAGAGTTTAATGGAAACAAAAAAAAAGTGGTAAAAATGCTACCCATGGGTCTCGAACCCAGTGCCTTACGCTTGCCAACCAACAACTCAACCGCTGCACCATTTTACT